GGCATCATCTAATAGCGAGAGGTGGAGCGGCGCGCCGAAAAAATGTCCAAAAAGCTTGCCGCTCGCTGCTTGACAACTTTTTTCGGCGCGCCGCTCCACCTCTCGCTATTAGATGATGCCCCACCGTTGCCTGCCGAGTCCGGCCTGCCGCCTTCTGCGCTCTTATTCGCTCAGACATTAAAATTAATTTCTTGATAACTATTGCGAATTTTGCAAAATGATATAGGACTTTTTTATTCAGTTTACCCCGGTCTATCTGCCATCTACGGGACATACGGGTATTAGGACACACCCTGTATAATTAACGATGTAGACTACAACTCAGCTATTACGAATCGTATCGGTGAGTGGTAAATTCTCTTTTATTTTAAATTGATGTCGCGCATGCAATACCTCCTTTGCATGTATACAAATTTTTTTAAATATACAATGCTGAAGAGTAAACGGCGCGTGCGAAGCGCGCGTTTTGTAATCTCTGCACTGAGAGACTCATTTTGTTGAATAAAACAAAATTTGGTTAACGCAATTGAATTCCTTGTTTAGATATGGACAAACAAATTTTCCAGTTAATACAACACAAAAATTTAGTTGAAAAATTTCATCAACACACAAATTTGGTTGAGTGAACATGCGCAGAATCCCCTTATAATATTTAACTAAACGATTTAGTTCACACAATAAATACAATTATTTAGGACGTGATGAGATGGACGAACTTGTTATCCGAACCATCAAATTTTGTTGAGATAAACGACTCATGAAAACAAAATAGTTTGTTGTTGTAACATTTAACTGATTTTCAGCATATTTTTCGTTTTATACAACCAAATTACATGTTCGGTCAACAAAATTATTCATTCAAATTATTTCGTTTTATTCAACCAAATGGGTCTCTCGTGATAGTCTACTAAAGACCATTGAAACTATTCTTAAGACGATCTTAAATGTAACAATGGACTATGAATATTGATCGAAGACTGAAGCTTGAATATGTGAAAATTATGTCATAAAAAGACTCGAAATATAAATAGTTACTTGGTGGGGGGAAACGTTTCGTTACTGAAAAATGAAACTACGTTACCGTTACAAGAAGCAAAAGATAACGCGTTACTTCTCAACCCTGTAGAGTGATGGACAGAATGGTTGCGACACTTATTTTTTAATGAACTAATAAAAATATTCTTTAATGTCGCCAGCAGTAATTAACAACTTCAGTCTTTTCTTGACCATATCTGGCATGGAGATATGCCTCAGTGGTCGAATTCGTGAGACGCCCGCTTAGAGCGTAGGGAAGTCCAGGTTTAAATCTTGGCTGAGGTAATATTTTTCGCAATAAATTTTCTGTATTATGAAAACTGCCAGATATGGTCAAGAAAACACTGAAGCTTTTTTTAATGAACTAATAAGAGTTCTTCGATGTCGCCAGCAATAATTAACAACGTCAGTGTTTTCTTGACCATACCTCGCATTTTTAATAATACAGAAAATTTATTGCGAAAAATATTACCTCAGCCAGGGTTTGTACCTGGACTTCCCTACACTCTAGGTGGTCCAGTTCGACCATCGAGGCATATAATGTCATATACCTCGATGGTCGAATTAGTGAGAAAAGGACAAGAAAACACTGAAGGTTCTTTAATGAGTTTAAGAACATGCATATAGAATGAGGATTACGTTTCAAAATGTTCTTCCCCGAGGAATATTTTATTCGATGACTCCGAGACCAATTTGAGCTTTTCCGATCAATTTCTCGAGTTCCTAAACTCATTAAAAAAAAAAAAGTGCCGCCACCATTCTGTCCGTCACTGTACACGCGTATATTAATTATTCTTTCGCCTTGCATGTAATATAAACTTTTTTCACGCGCAAATTATGTCATTGGCGAAATTGTCAGTCGAGTACACGCGCGACGTCAAGTCGCAAAATTCAATCTTGTTAGGCCCGCGAATGGAATATTTTCTCGAGCTACGTTGAGAAACAAAAGGAAGAGTTTGCGCGCGTTCGCCACATTCGTACCTACGGGAATCGCATGCATGTAATAAGCGAAAACAATTGTACGTAATGGTGCTGAACCGGAGGTGCGATTCCATCAAGTGGCACGCGTGCTCGAAATAGTATCCGCGGCGAGCATGAATTATCACGCGAGCCACTTCCATCGCGATTCTTCGAGGGATAAATCGTTGATGGGGATTGCGCTCCGCTGCGTTCTCCACGCCGCGACGTGTCCTTCCCGATTTCGGTGTTTATTTACTGTTTAGCGCTTGTTGATCCTTTTCTCGTGCAGATAAAATACTATCGTGCGTATCGGGACGCGCAGCAACCATGCAATCATGCAAAAACAAAAAAAATTTTCCGCCACGATCGAACGCATGGGAACTTCACGAGGAGATTTTTGCTGCATGAGCGTGCATCGCGAATTGGCCCGACAGAAATGGTGACAAAAAAAACTATATGGACATGAAAAAAAAAGCAATATTGCGTATGTATCACGGCTACGGGTGGTAGAGTGAACAAATTCGCTGATGCATCGAAGCGTAGAAAGTTACGAGAAGCAGCGAAAACAAATGATTGTTTTCCGTGACAATGCGTCGATAAACTGCTTTGTAATTTATCCATCGATCGCCTCGTATATGTTCTGATATTTTCGGAGATTTAATAACGACTTCTTAGTTGAACGTAGATGTCAGGTGAAGCATATTTCAAACAAACTGTTTATGGAATGATTGAAGTTAGAAGTCTCTACCTCGAGGCTGATAGAAATAGCTTATTTGTCCGGAAAACAAAAAAGTTTTCCAATAACGGTATAACAATAATCCACGTTATAGTGAATGAAAAATAGAATGGATACATCCAAGCAATATTCGACACACTCATACACGCGCGCGCCCATAAAACGGCACTATTTTTAATTCTATATGATATAAGAATGTAATTGTATACGGAAACCTTCAATTTATGAAAGTACACATTTGAAACAATAAGTTAAATAATGCCACAGCGGAAGTTCGGTATGAAATAAGTATCAAAATACCTTAAAAAATCATCCGCGCTAAACGAGAAGCAGATGCGGAACGAAATAAGATCGTTAGAATGATTGCAAGACAATGTTATTATTGCGTAAGCAATTACCTGCAAACTCCCTTTTTCTCGGTTTTTTTCGACAGACGTTCTCGTTAATCAAAGTCGACTTGCAATTAGACAAGTTTCGTTTCTTACGTGTGCCTCGATAAAAATTGGAAACAAAATTTCATATTGATCCTAAACGTAGTAATAATCTTGATTTCGTAAAGCAAATGTAATTTGACGTAATATAATTATTGATTGTTACAAAATTTATTTAAGAAAAGATGCAGTCTATCAATTTCAGAAAAAGAAACTAGGTGCACGAGTACAATTTCAATTGTACGTTCAGTTTGAGTGAATTAAGTATTTAAACAATTATTTTTATAGGCGTTTAAAAGGCGTTTAAATAGCTTACGGAAAAGTCTCGTAAGGGGTTCAATTGCACAATGTTAAATGTGCACGAAATTGATTATTAATATAATAAAAAAAGTCATAACTGACACATCGTTAATTAATCGTTTCAAAAACTAAGCGTATCAATCCCTTTCTACTCTGGGAGAAAAGAGACAGCTAGCAAATCATTTTGCGTCCACAATTAGTCATCGAATTATTTGGATTGTTCGTATTTCTACTCTAGAAAAAATTTTGACCGTTTTTCTTCGTAGTTGAGCAACTTAACATTTCGGTTAGTGCCTCTTAAGTGAAAATGATCTTTGCGTTACTGAATATCGACAGAACTGATTGAGAGAATTGATTAGTATTACTTTAAAATTTTAAATATAGATAGAACAGCTAATTTTTAGTTACGCGGGGTAAAATTCGTAAAAGATTAGAGCTACGAACAATCCAAATAATTCGATTGCTAATTGTGGGCTCCAAAATGGGTTGCTAACTCTTTTTTTTCCCAGGGTATAAATTTCTGAAATTTATTAGAATCTACGTACGATTAATAATTTCATGGTCCTTTTCTGCATTTAATCTTGTGGAGTCAATCAGTTTGTCTCTTCAAGGTTCGATTACTCTCTGTAACAAACGGATCCTCTCGCGAGTTCGACAAGTGTTTATAAAACCGGCCACCACATTCACGCACGCCGCAACGAAAGATACTTTCGATTCGACGGAGCCTCAATATCCCCCAAAGTTCTCGAAGGAAGTAATAACGAGATTGTTATGTACAGTGCTGCGTGCGCCCGCGTGTGTACGACCGCACGTACGCTTCTCCCCTTCGCCGGGCGTGTGTATCGCGCGGGACGCAATTGCGACGCGTTTGCGCTTCGTCGCGCTCAAGTTTGAATCGCGCCCTCGAGTAAACGTAGAGACGACGTCTCCGCCGTCCCCTCGCCGCAGTACGCTCGGCTCACCGCGACGCTCGGCGTCGCGGTCGCGTCGCGGAGAGCGCGGACGTCGGCGCGGAACGCCGAGGGGCGAGCGCGCGAGCACGCAGGCGCCCGCGTGGTTGGCGGCAAAGCGGAACCGCGTCGCGACGCCCGGCGCGCGTTTACTCCTCAGTTGACGTAGCCGCGTCGCCGACGTAGCAACATGCTCCCCGTTCTCGCGATCCCGGTGTTCTGCGTCGCGACATGGGTATCCGCGCTGAACGATCCGTCATCAGGTAAAACAATTGATCCGACATCATCTCTCCCCGCGTGCCAGGCGCACCGATTCTCCCTCTCTCACCAATTGCCGCTACGTGATTATGCGATGTACAGATACCGCCTCGCGATGAATTCCATCTTACAATTAGCTCCCCGTGCCCGTCGTGGCTCGCAGTCGCTCGCGATCGAAAGGCCTCCGCGAGATCGAGATCTTTGTGAGCGACAGGGAAAAAAGGGGTAACCCATTGCATCGCGTTTTTACGACTTTTCCGCACGAGGTCCGCGTATTTAACCGTGTTCTCTCTCTCTCTCTTCCTTCTCCAATCTGTCACCCTATCTGTCTTTTTCTCGAGGACTTTCCTCCGAGGAAATTTTACGGTCGGCTTTTACGATTGCGGTTTGTTTATTACGCGGATGATAAAAGTCGGTAGGTGATTACGAGCCGGCCGTAATTTAAACGAACGAGATTGGCCACGATCGAGTCGCCTATCCCGCTGTATCGTTTCGCGTCGCGACGCGTCGCGTCGCGTCGTATGGTCGCCAGGAGCTCCGCTCCGATCCCGCGGGAGCGATCGTAACGCGGCATCGCGAGTTTAACGTTGCACCGTCGATCGCGGGATACGCCGCTCGATCGTAAAAGCGACGAGTCCTGCGGCGGCCGCGGACGCGCGACTCAATTTTCTTCACCGCGCGGCGTTGATCTTTCGAATCAACACACCGCTGATTGGGACGAGAAGTCCCCCCGGAAGGTTTCACCGCATCGATCGGAATCGCGGGCATTAGCCAGCCGGTATCTCCGCCGTAAGTGAACGCGAGTAGCCGAAAGTGGGGTGCATTCAAATGGGAACGCGCAGAGTCGGCGCTGTGCCATCGCGCTGTCCGCTTCGTCCTTTCCTCGGCGTCTCACGCACGTCGGTCCTCCTCTTCCGCTTCCTCTCGGCCGCGCCGACCCCTCGCCGTGATCGCTCCTACTCTCTAAGCTTTTATGGAATAGCTGCAAGGTGATTGGCTACACATTTCTCGGAACTAGAACTTGGACCAAGTTCTAGCACCGTGGACACAGGCTTCAAAAGTCAATCAGTGGATTATCACTGGAAACAGTGAATAGTCACTGATTGACTTTTAGAGAGTACGGTGAATCGTGGCGAGTACGAACGCGGCGCAAGCTAGTCCAGGTGATCTCTACCCCTTATCCTTCCGCGCGATAAAACTCGCTCTTTTTCCCGGCCGACCGGCTGGGAAGTGGATCCCTCAGCCGTCGGTCGAGACCACCTTCGCGCCGGGGCGGTCCGTTTATTCGCGTCCCTCGTGCGCGATTACTCGCGCGTCACGGCGACGGCCGGGGCAAACGGCAGAATCTTCAACGGAGGTGTAATTTTCGGTGATTTTCGGACGCAGCGCGGTACCGCGTCCGGCACGTGGTACACCAGCGGGATTAGGCGCCGGTGAAATACGCCGGCGCCATTATACGGCGCCCTGCGCTGTAATCGCGCGGGCTAATGACTTAACGTCGAATTATCACGCCGTCGGCCGAAGGCTCCGTAAATCCACTTGGTCTCGCCCCCGCCCGTTAATTGCCCGCCTCCTACCGCCCGAATTAGTCCCGCATCAGTTGCGAATCCCGGTTGACGGCCGCGGTCGCACGAGAGAGACTTGACGATTTTTAATCCGTGTTCTCGGCTCGCGTCACGTCGCGCCTTGATACGCGACTCCATAAGGCGGTAATAAGCACTCCGCAAATCAAGTCGTCACGTGAGTTACTTACGACGGAATCTGCCTCTCGCGATGAGATATCGATGAAAGCCGCGCCAGAGGCTTATACGTTTGATTTCTTTGAAATTTATGATCAATCATAGAAAAGCTCCTCTTCAGCTCGACAACCCGACAATCACATTTCCGTGTGAATTTTGTATGCCTTTTCCAACCCTAGAAACTGCCGATTTTTCGTCGGTTTTGAAACACCGTTCTTCGTTGCAAAAATTAATTCATATGCTTAAATCGGTTTAACTTTCGATGTTAACATCATCGCATGCCTGAACGGTCGAAAGGGGGGAGGGGGCTCCAGGTTCGAAGCCTGGCTGGGGCGATATTTTTCGCAATGAGGTCTTTAGAGTGATTTTAAAAAGATTCTTATAGGGCGGTCACGGCAGAAAGAGAATGTCCGATGCTCGAGTGAGCCAAAATCCGAGCTCAAGTTCGACTAAAAATTATTGGTTTTATTCGATCGCGGCTTCTCGAAAGGCAATAGCAAACTGTCGACAGTGGGGATACACATCGAGATCAGATAGGGTAAAGGCAGGCATTATGGCCAGGCAGGTAATATGGCCACAACGCCCGTATT